TTCTAAATTTTCTCCAAAAGAGTTAGGTTACCTTTCCTTATAGTGACAGTGGCGCACTTATCTAACCCAAATTTCATTCCTATATCATTGCTGAATATACTTGTCGTTCGCACTAGAGAAGCAAGATGTTGCCTTGTCTCGGCGTATAGTTTGAGGTCATCCATATATAGCAGATGGTTGAATCTGGTAGGCTCACTCACATCGAGCCTATACCCGAACTTGGAATTATTCAGCAGTGATGACAGTGGGTTCAGGGCTAGACAGAACCACATCGGGCTGAGAGAATCACCCTGAAATATGCCTCTGCGTATGCGCACGTCTCCTATGTCCTCCGAATTAACTCTTAAAGAGGTTCCCCAGTTCATCATCAGATGAGACAATAGGTTTATGATGCGGATGTCTACTTTATATATATCCAGCACCTTTAAAAGCCAATTATGTGGCACGGAATCAAACGCCTTAGAGTAGTCGATGTAGCAGACATGGAGATTTCTCTTATTTTTACACGCATGCTTCGTAATAACGGAATCAATTATAAGTTGCTCTTTGCATCCGAAAGAACCACGGACACACCCCTTCTGTTCTGTAGCAATGATATTGTTGCTTTCACAGTGAGTATATATTTGGTCATTCAAAAGTGCTGTTAGTAGTTTATAAAACACAGAGAGACATGTAATTGGTCTATAGTTTTTCGGATCCTCAGGATTGCCGTTTTTAAATATAAGATGTGTTATTCCTTTCGTCAAGAAGTTAGGTAATATCTCCGGGTTGGTGATTGCTTTAGAAAGTGATCGACCCAATGCAGCATGTGTGCTTAGGAACTTCTTGAGCCAAAAGTTCTGAATATTGTCGGGTCCCGGCGCTTTCCAATCAGCAGCATTTTTTAGCACTCTACTTACGTCATCTTGAGAGAATATTGCAACGCTCATTGGGTTTACCTTAGCTGCCTTCACTACCTCTTTGATCCAAGGCGCATTAAGGTCTGATGGCTTTGGTTCGGACCAAATATCACTCCAAAATTTAACAAAATTTTGCGTATCTCTAATGCCTTTGGGTTCCGAAGATGATTCTGAGATGATAGATCTGTAGAACTGGTTTTGGTTTCTCTCGAACAAAGCATTTTGCTGCTTTCTCTTGCTGGTCTCATTATATCTTTGGAGCCGGGCACCTTTCATTTTGGCTTCTTGTCTCATTTTATCTCTATGCAGGTTTAAAAATGAGCTATCGATATCGCAGCTGGGGGGTACGTTAATTTTTCGTTTAATATCTGCAATTTTCTTGATCACCTTTCGGGACCTATTGCCTCCTTGGTATTCTGAAATGAGATCCGCCTCAGCTCTACATGAGTCAATATCTTTCATGAGTCTTAGTTTCCATGGCTCCTCACTACGTTTCGATGTCTTTTTAAGAGGCGCGTCATTAGGTGGTAGTAACTTTTGACCATTCACGTTCACCACAGTAGCAGCTGCCGCATAGATAGATAGATGTACTTCTTCTAAGTCATCACAGTGTTCTAGGTGGCGTAAAAGAATTTCGTCCATCTGATGTATTATTTGATTGGATTTTGCATTTAGTAGAAGCTTTGGGAGCCTAGGCCTTTTTGTGGGGTCGCTAAATCGGTAGAAGCTTAAGGTGCTTAGAAAAAGATCATTCAGCTCTTTTTGCTTTTGGCTAGTTACGCATTCAGGTTCGATATGCGGTTGATCCTGAACTGACAAACGTGTAGGGGCTACTTCATCGTTTATGGCATTTTGGGATATCGCTCTACCAACTTCACGTTTCAATTCATCCGTTTCGGTCTGGGTTAGATAACCGTTTTTCACAATAGTCCTTTTTCTATCAACGATATTTTGCTCAGTTAATCCAAGTTCCGGGTGAATCTTTGAAAACTCTGTGTGGAGCTTACGTCTCCAACCTGTTTGTGGTAGGTCTTTGCAGTCATTAACGAGATAAAATGCTTTCATTACAGAAATGTTTAGCTCTCTAGTCCATTTTATACGTTGACCGCTACGTTTATTGGCCGCAGCATTCCGGGTGCCGGTGTGCAAACGGCAAATCTGTGTGACCTCGTCTGTTAATTCCACAGGATGTTCATCTTCATCGGTGGACCTATAATGTCGATCCCATGTATTTGGAGGATTATTATTATTATTATTATTATTATTATTATTATTATTATTATTATTATTTCAGTTGAGATTGCCTCAGCCTGTAAATGCCCTTCAAAAACCATCTTATGTCTGCATCGTTAGTAGCATTTTGGGTAAAAGACTGATAGCTCAAACAATTATATCTTTGAGGTACTATTTGCTATGTGTTACGAGCCAAAGTGACCAAAATACAAATTTCATTGTCGATTATTGTTTTTACCTATGTTGGGAATATGCGCAGAGAAACTTTTATCGTTTATCAAATAACGAAGGTCTGGCCGCCGCTGGATTTTACTCTATGAGATGCATTCTCCGATTTGTGAAATTTAGATAAGATAGAAGAGAAAGAGTAGTATATTGACATCTGTTTCGATGAAAGTTTTTCATGTTCGATTCCATTCGATTTCCATACATTGTAACTTGGCATGAATTGCAGCTTTTATGCACCAGAATATGTTAGATGAGGGCTCCAAATTGTAGAGTCGACACATCATAAGGTAGAAGATAAAATGTCTTTGAAGATTCTCCATCACTCAGCATAGTCTTACCGAATTTCGGGCACAGGACGGTGCGGCTTATATTTTTGACTTAAGTTGCACTTTCTGTGTCCGGGAATTTGTGAGATACAACCTCCAAATCGAGAAATGTATTATACCGGTTGAAGATAGAATATAGAAGATATTCCTACGATTGTTTTTTGTTTTTCATCCAAGTTTCCGCAAGACTACTTGTATTTCTTTGAGCAAACTTCCTTCGAGTGTTTCCATCTGTCGTACTAATACGCTATTTACAAAAATCTATCACAATGGATAATTCACACAATCTAATAATTAAAAACTGATTGTTATGATTGGGAACACTCATTAATAAAAATCAGTTTTAAGGAAAAATAATCGAATACGGAATTTCCAATATCCAAATCTCCTGAAACACACCAGTCTAGAACGAAAGCTGAGTCCTCCCACCCATCTCATTATGCAGAGAACCGCTGACGCCCGATCGCGGAACTACAGTTGTGTGCAGTAGCTGTGCGTTTGGTGGAACAATGCACCAGATAT